CTAAAACTCTACCCTTTAACATCGTCTCAGCGAGGACGGCATTCATCCAGCAACGCGTCACAGCTGCGAAAGAACCACGAGGCCTTCAGTATCCAGGCAGACAAGAAGGAGAAGACCCGTCACAATCACTTCATCAAAACCGCACAACCCTACAAACCCAAGGTGCTCCAAGGAGCTCGGCCTTTAGGCATTATACACTTGAAATCATCCTTGGGTGATTTAATTGGCTGCTTTGCTTGTTGCCTTAATTGGTTGGAATTCTTGGTCTGAAACAGCCAGAGTCTGCGACAGAACAGTCAAAGAAGAAGACCCGCGAGGAGATTGTGGACATCGATGACCCAGAGATGCGGCGCTTCCCCTATCCCTTCAACGAGCTCCTTGTGTGGGCCGTACTCATGAAGCGGCAGAAGATGTCGCTCTTCTTCTGGCAGCACGGCGAGGAGTCCATGGCGAAGGCTCTGGTGGCCTGCAAGCTATGCCGCTCCTTGAGTTACGAGGCCAAGAAGAGCGACGTGGTGGACGACACTTCCGAGGAGCTCAAGGAATACTCGAAGTGAGTGCAATTGGTCAAAATTTGCTTAAAAACCATGGTGATAAAAATTGTATTTGACGCAAGATGTACAAGAGAGCAGTGACAAGGTTCTGCATTGAGGAGAAACTGGGGAGGGGGCACTAAAATGTCAATTTCTGAAAAGTCAGCAGTTGACTAGCTGTCAGAGGCAGAGGATGGGCAGAAGCTGACTCAGCACATTAAATCGTATCATCTTCTGGGTGCCTTTTTCAGATGCTGCTGTGGGGGGGGGGGGTATCGAGATGGGGGTGAACATATTGGGGCATTGGTAGCTGAGATCTGTCTGGCTCCTGAAAGCGCTGATTTGGTTCTGGATTCAGTGAATTTGGCACGCTGGCAGTGGACCTGCTGGAGCAGTCCTTCAGGCAGGACGAGACGATGGCCATGAAACTGCTGACCTACGAGCTGAAGAACTGGAGTAACTCGACCTGTCTGAAGCTGGCGGTGTCCTCCAGGTTAAGGCCCTTTGTGGCCCACACCTGTACTCAGATGCTGCTGTCTGATATGTGGATGGGCCGGCTGAACATGCGGAAGAATTCCTGGTACAAGGTGATGTTGCGTTCCGGCTGTCTTTCTTTAATTCCCTTATTTCCTTTGTTTGCTTATACTTTAATGTGTTTATTCATACTCGGCCCTCCATCACTGCATATTCTTGCAAATTATCTACATTTATCCAGGGATTAATTGCTGTATTCCACTGGCTAAGTAATAGAAAAACAAACTAATATCCACACAAATGTCATCATTCAAGGATGAGTGATTACCAGTTCTGACAGTTTCTGTTTTTTTTAGGTAGTAGCTATAGATTTCATAGCGGTTGGTTTTCTTATTCCTGTGTCTTTTTTTTCTGCTGTACTGTGTCAATGCCTTACGTGTTTCTGTTTGCAGCATAAGTAATCTTATTTGTTCTAGACAGGCCAGTTTAATAGCATGTGGCACTTGACTAGCTAGATTAACACCAAGCAATGGCTAGCCAGCAATTTTAAACATGTGACTGGAATACTTGACGCGCAAAACATTTATAAGTACTTATTCATGAACTCACTTAATGACACTGTTGATGATGTAAATGGAATTAAATTGCTCATAGCCAAGAAAAATATCTTGAGGATGCACAAGGAAACTTTGCAGTTGTCAATGAGGCTGTGTTTCTGCAATAATTAGTATAATTGATTGATTTTAGGCAGGGGCAGTTCTAGGGTTTGACTCGTAGGGGAACTCAACCCCCAGGAATTAAAGGAAAATATTGCTTAAATGAATTTAGAGACAAAGGGCGCTTTTCCACTATAGCAGGTACCACACTTTTGGTCCTTCGAGAAGTACCAAAAGTACGATACTTCAAGGTGTTGATTTTCCATTGGTGTAAAAATTTGTAACAGCACTGAATGACATCGCAACACAAGGCGGGGTATTTTGTACTGAATTCGAAAAATAGTTGCAGTATATTATAGGGCTCGAAAATATGGGATATTAATACCTACATCGCATGTTATGCCTATGGAATTCTTACATTACTAAAAAAGTACCCCAGTTGTTTGGCACTTTTGGCACAGGTACTCAATGGAAAACAGAAAGTACCAAAAGTATGGTACTTGGTGCAGTGGAAAAGCACCCAAGGAATTGGGTGACGGAAGTCCCCTAAAATAATATGGTTTTAGGGAAAAAAAAGTGCTGGAAGAGAATACATTAAAGCAGGTTTTATATGACTGTATGAAATGTATACACATATAACATATTAGACTTTATGACATCAATTTCATTAATACCATTTGCCCAATTCTGTCCTTCAGGTGATCTTGAGCATTTTGGTTCCACCAGCCATCCTCTTGCTGGAGTACAAAACCAAGGCAGAGATGTCCCACATCCCTCAGTCGCAGGATGCCCACCAGATGACCATGGAGGACAGTGAACACAACTTCCAGAATGTGGCTGACGACATCCAAATGGTCAGCCTTCAACTTCCATCGGTCTATCAGTTGGTTTATTTCTATCTGGTTCGAATTAGTGAAGTGTCACAATGTGTGCGTGTTTTCACAGGTTTCGTGATTATCAGCGAAAGTCCACTGCGTTATTGTAAACCAATTAGCCATTTTTCTTGGTATGGGATAGCAAATAAAAAACGGGGACATAGAGAGCATTGATAAAGAGGTTTATTAGGACAGGATTTTTATCTCCAGGTTGACGGGGAACAGGGGTAGGCATGCAGTTAAATGCACATGCGCTGCTACATGCTGAACAGTGGGGTGTAATGTCACGTATGTCGTTTATACTAGGAACTAGGGCAAGTGAAGTGGACTTTTAGCAAAGGTCTCCTGATTCAACTGGTACCTCTTGAGACTGACAGTGTCTTCAGACAGTATAATAAACACAACAAGCAGTCTTTACATGGCCAGGAGTTCAGCGCCCCTGCCAGCGTCTCCTCTCCTCTCCTCTCCTCTCCTCTCCTCTCTCTATTTTAAAGTTTCACTGGCACCTTTATTAAGCAGCAGCCGCTTACTTGTTTTTGCTCTGAACGACTTTTAAGGACGTTTTCAAGGAAGCCAGATTCAACGACAACGTGGAAGTGAAGAGCGAGCCGGAGGTGCACGTGCGCCCCCGCAGGCTGCCCATCACCAGAAAGTTCTACGCGTTCTACCACGCCCCCATTGTGAAGTTCTGGTTTAACGCGGTACGTGGGAGCCGGTATGCACCACGGAAGGTGCCCCTGTCCTCCACTCCCGGCCAGCGTGCATCTATGCTCTCGCAGTGAGACGATTTTGCCCGTAGGCACATTTCCAGGCCTCCTTCGCCCCCCCCCACCCCCATTTCATTTGCATTCCCCAGAGAAAAGCTTGGTTCCCATCCCAAGCGTGCGTGGTGCTGACGGGGAAAGCAGATACTATCGCAGAACACATAATCAGAGGGCACGGCACCCGCATTAAAAGCTGACGAATTAGCCCCGGCCCCCGCTCCGGAACCTCCTAAAGCAGTGCCACACTTGGTCACACACGCCGCTGATAATAATTTCGTCCTTGGCAGCTTTTGTGTGTGTGAGTTTCCGTTGCTTAATGGTCAAGCACCAGCACCCATCTGAGGGCTTGTCGCTTTCAAGATGAACTGATTTGGGTAGGTTGAGATTGAGTACCCAGAAGGTGGGCAATAGATTTCTTCATAAGGCTGTCTGGGAAAACATTTCAGTAAATGGAACACTTCTGGAAGTGTGTATTTTATTTTTCATATACTGTCGTAGTTGGCAGATAGAGAGTGTGTGTGTGTGNGAAAATTTCATGTCAGTAGCACCTATAGAAATATATTTACTGAGAAAATTGGTGATGTGTTCAGTACTTATTTTACCCGCTGTATGTGTGTGTGTGTGTATGTGTGTGTGTGTGTGTGTGTGTGTGTGTATGTGTGTGAGAGAGAGCTGCCTCGTGGACTGGCATCCCATGGGCAATCTAAAGTCGCCAATTTACCCTGCTGCATAGGGCATGCAAACTCTGCCACCTATTGAACCACCACTGTTGTTTGCTTTCCTGGGAGGTATATTCTGCTCAAAGAAGAAGAATGATTTACTCTGCCATGCAAGCCGAAATGCCGAACGGCTTCGCAAGGCTGTAGCACGTGACATGGGCGCATTAAAAGAATTCCTACATGGAGCTCATGCGGCTGATGTCGGGGTGAAATAAATAAATAAAATAGATAAAGGGAAAAGCACAGAATGATGTTTAAATTAACATAATTTCACACAGTGTTTAATGCTTCCCTTCCCTGAGACCATAGTCTTTCTTGCCTTTCTCTGGGCCTTCCTGAACGAGCCGTTTCCCGTTTTGCCATTCAGCTGGCGTTCCTGGGCTTCCTGATGCTATACTCTTACGTGGTTCTGGTCCAGATGCCAGCATGGCCCTCGCCACAGGAGTGGATTGTCATCGGCTACATATTCACCTTGGGTGTGGAGAAGATCCGTGAGGTACGTATGGGGCCCTCTCGCGGCCTGCAGCATGCTTAATTTTAGACTTGGAAGAAAGTTTCAAGTATGTGTTATGAAATCTGACATTTGATATATTAAGAAAGAAACGTAAAATCAATTTTTTTTTTGTAGATGTTTATGTCAGAAGCTGGAAAAATAAGTCAAAAGATTAAAGTGTGGTTCAGTGAATATTTTAACATATCCGACACCCTCGCTATCGTCACATTCTTCGTGGGGTTCGGATTGAGGTTTGGATCAGATGAAACCTTCACGACGGGAAGGCTTGTCTATTGCCTGAATATCATTTTTTGGTATGTGAGGCTCCTCGATATCCTGACTGTTAACCAGCAAGCTGGACCCTATGTCATGATGATTGGTAAAATGGTGAGTGAGAGAATCTGTCCTCCGTGCAAACATCTCCACATGTGGTGAATGACTTGACACCATAGACTCTTCCCATTGAACATACTAGCGCAAAATTTCCAACAATACTTACTTGTAGTTACATCTAGTTCAGTAAAATGTTTTTCTTAGCACTACCCTGACTTACATTGTTCAATTCCATTGAAAAAGGATTCTACCTGCATTGTCATACATTGTATCATAGCATTTTAATATAAATGTTTATAGTGCTAAAAAAAGTGCTGTATTGTACCTTTGCAATTAATGAGTAATTAACACATATCACAGTAAAAGGCTACAGTACATTCATCTTTAAACTAATTAATGGCCTTGTAATGGCACTGTAAACCGCAATACAAGTGTGTGTTTTGTAAATGGCCTTTGTTCACAGTAACCGGTAACTTGAACCCCTCCATCTGTCTGTGATGCCGCTGCAGGTTGCCAATATGTTTTACATAGTTGTCATCATGGCAGTGGTCCTCCTTAGCTATGGCGTTCCTCGAAAGGCCATCTTGTACCCAAATGAAAATGCATCATGGACCCTGGCTAAGGACATCGTCTTCCAGCCTTACTGGATGATGTATGGTGAAGTGTATGCTTATGAAATTGATGGTAAGGGACGCCCAAGTTTGGCTAAATATGAAAACAAATGTCTTTGAGATGTTAGTAGTGATGGGAAATAGCAAATTCAGCTATTTCATTTTCATTGCCTTTCCCCTCAGTCTGTGCGAACAACTCTGAGATGCATCATCTGTGTGCGCCAGGGGTGTGGCTGACACAACTCCTGCAAGCTGTCTACCTCTTTGTTCAATATATTCTCATGGTGAACCTTCTCATTGCTTTCTTCAAGTAAGCTTCTCTATTTTAGACAATCTGGTTTGGTCTGTCCGCGCAATCAGTGTTTGACGACTGAGCACCGAGTGTATGGTTCTGCTCTGCCTTTGCAGCAATGTGTACTTCCAAATGAAATCCATGTCCAACCTGGTGTGGAAGTACCAGCGTTACCATTTTGTCTTGGCGTACCACGAGAGGCCGGTGCTCCCCCCGCCGCTCATCTTACTCAGTCACCTGGCTGCTCTCTTCTCCTGCATCTGCAGGAAGCGCAAGAAGGACAGTAGGACCTATGGACCAAGTATGGATGATGTCCATCTTTGTGGACATGCATGGGGCCCATAAGGCCGTTTGAGTCAATTTTTCAATTCTAACAGGACCTTCTCGTTGTCTAATTTTTATTACTATCCCCCCCCACCCCACCGCTTCCCCTCCCTCAGAACTTTTTCTAACGGAAGAAGATCAAAAGAAGCTGCACGACTTTGAAGAGCAGTGTGTGGAGATGTACTTCCAAGAAAAGGATGACCAGTTTCACTCCAAGAGTGAGGAACGGATCCGGGTGACCTCGGATAGGTGCGTCTTCCTGAAGCTGCCTTTCTGAAAGCAGGACCGTAGAGCATTTCCTTCTGGGAACTGTGCAAAGACTTCATGTATCTGTTGACAGTGCTGTGGTGTTAAAAACACACTGTGTGTGTGGTGTGTGTGTGTGTGTGTGTGTGTAGCAGAGAGACGTTGATTCTTATTCATATTTCTGAGATGTGGATTGTGTCAGTGACACCTTGGATTTATTTTGATGTTCTTTTCAGGGTTGAAACCATGTGCATTCAGCTGAAGGAGGTTGGCAACAGGGTGAACTTTATAAAACGCTCCCTTCACACACTAGACTCTCAGATTGGCCACCTGCAAGACCTGTCTGCCCTGACAGTGGACACGTTGAAGGCTCTGACCGCCCAGAGGGCCTCAGAGGTCAGCAAAGTCCACAATGAGATCAGCCGGGAGCTCAGCGTGTCCAAGAACCTCGGGCCCAACCTGGTGGACGTGGGAACGCAGCCAAAGTCCTTTGCTTGCATGAAGCACAGCATAGGGGCATACCTCGGGTCATCGTTCGTGCAGGGCGGTGGCAAAATTCCTGATTCCCTGTTCAGTTGCGGAGTTCGGGAAATGGCTGAGCGGGGTTCGGGGCCTGACCTCCACCCGAGGAACACGGACTGCCTGGAGGATGGTTCCTCGCAAAGTGTCTTAGGCCAGAGTGGGACGTCTCACCCTGACCTGCAGCCGGGGGGGCACTCCGTCGATGGGGACAGGCTGGCCCTTCCCGAAGAGCCCGGGGGTGTCCCCCCATCCCATAGCCTACCTGACGTCCCCTCCCCAACCGCACGATTTTTTGTCAGCACTCCATCTCAGCCGGATGGCCCTGGCGGCGATTCCCCAGATGAGGGGCTCCTGGACATCCCACCCGGTAGCCCTACCGTCGAATTTGGGGCGTTTGTTGGTAAGTGTCCGAACAGGAAGTGCTTGTTCCCCAGCATTGTTATCGTTACGACTGCCCCCGATGCTGCTGCTCCTCCTCCTCCTCCTCCCCCTCCCCCTCGGGAGCTGCGTGCTAAGGGGGGGGGGTACGTGAACGAGGCATTCTGCAATGATGAGGCCGCCACCCATGGGGGCCCTGCATCCCGGGGGGAGAGGAGCAGCCCCTTACCGGGCTGTGAACTGGCCCCGGCCGTCCGGCCCAAGAAGAGCCTCCAGGACAGAGGGAGACCCGCTGAGAACACAAAGCATAGCCACTGCGCTAAAGGAATTCTACAGAAGCTCCGGTCCTCGGCCAGAGCGAGAGGTTTGGCTCTGACCTCTCCGAACTGCGTACTTGGCTGCAGGTCACTTACTCCTCTTCGGTGGTGAACAGATCGCACTGCGGAATGAGGCCGCCTCCTCCTCTACTCCTCCTGCCTTGCATCACAAACTGTTTGCTCAAGCTGTCTGGCTTTGTGTGGAGGGTGATGGGATTAATCGTGTGTTCCTTTTGTTCCTATTTAATGTCATTTGTTCTTCAACGTTTAAAGTAAATTTTTCACGCAACGCCCTGTAATGTAAGTTATGGGTAAGTTTGTAATGACTATGGATTGAGACATGCAGCCCCATTTAAAAATGGAAAAATTTAACACGCTGATAAAGGGGGCCATAATCTTTTTTATTATTTTATTGTTTTGAATATACCAGTAAGAGGAGCAGTTGTAGCGTGTATGAACGGCCGAAGGTCCAGATCCAGAGTGAATCATTTTTAGTGTTTGTTTCGGGTGGGGGTGTTAAACTCACTTCCTGTGTGGGAAGCCTTTGCTCCAGCAGCCTTATATTTGTCTTCATCAGTTTTCCATCTAGTTGAGACGGTTGGAAGAGGAACATAAGCTGTTAATTGTGGGTGGGAGGTGGGGTTACGGCTTGCTGGACTGAGAAGCTGCTGGCTCACAGGTTTGTGTTTGGCACTTCCGCACCTCTTAAGGAGAGCAGGCCGAGAGCTCGAGTAAAGAATAGCAGGTCAGCACCCAGCCAAACTGCGAAAAGCAGAGAGGAGCCATTCTGGTCCCAGATCAGCACCCATTTTAGCCTGTTGATGTAACCATCTGCTCTGTCCCTCCCCATCCTCTTCCGCTTGTCAGGACCGCCATGCTGTGTTTAAAAACATTCTGTGATAGTGGCTGACTTTCACCCTGCTTTGTTTTTTTAGTGAATCTCACATGTACACATGTAATGGGTGGTGGCTTTCACACATGACAGGTGTGGGCGGTTTGGTTCCACTGGCATTGTTCAAAATCCTGATCTGAGGTCTGTCACCATGTTGTATCCTCTGCCCTTTGTTTTTTTTTTTTTGTGTTCAGTTCCGTTTTGTTTTTAAAAATATTTTCTCCATTTTGATCAGCTGGTGCCCCAGCCCGCTCTCTGGCAGCACAACTGACTTGTCTCTCTTCACGGCCAAGGTCACAAAGATAACGTGGAGCCACAGAGATCATTCTCCAAAGATGTCATTGCTGGGAATAGGCAACTCAGTCCATGCAAGAGGATCAATGAAATGGTCAGCTTTATTTTATAATGATATTTTATTTATATATATATATATATATATATACACACACAGCGGGTAAAATAAGTATTGAACACGTCACCATTTTTCTCAGTAAATATATTTCTAAAGGTGCTACTGACCTGGTGAAAATTTCATATGTCGTTAACAACCCATGCAACCCATACCTGCAAAGAAATCAAACCTTGGATGTCCATAAATTATGTAATTAAATGGAATGACACAGGGGAAAGTAATGAACGCACTTACTTTAATTTATTTAATACTTCGTACAAAAGCCTTTGTTGGTAATAACAGCTTCAAGACGCCTCCTATATAGAGAAACTAGTTGCATGCGTTGCTCAGGTATGATTTTGGCTCATTCTTCCACACAAACAGTCTTCAAGTGTTGAAGGTTCCGTGGGCCTCTTCTATGAACTCTAATCTTTAGTGCTTTCCATAGATTTTCTATTGGATTCAATTCAGGTGATTGGCTGGGCCGTTCTAGCAGCTTTATTGTCTTTCTCTGAAACCAAGTGAGAGTTTCCTTGGCTGTGTGTTTGGGATCATTGTCCTACTGAAATGTCCACCCTCGTTTCATCTTCATCATCCTGGTAGATGGCAGCAGATTTTTATCAAAAATGTCTCGGTACATTTTTCCATTCACCTTTCCTTCAATTACATGAAGTTTGTCAGTGCTGTATGCTGAAAAACAGCCGCACAGCATGATGTTCCCACCTCCAAACTTCACTGTTGGTGTGGTGTTTTTGGGGTGATGTGCTGTGCCATTTGACCTCCAAACATGGTGTGTATTATGGCATCCAAAGAGTTCAATTTTGGTCTCATCTGACCGGACTATATTTTCCCATTATTTCACAGGCTTGTCTAAATGTTGTGCAGCAAACTTTAAATGAGCTTCAACATGTTTTTTCTTCAGCAATGGTGTCTTGCGTGGTGAGCCATGGCTGTTGTGTGCATTACTTATTGTTTTCTTTGAAACAATTGTACCTGCTAATTCCAGGTCTTTCTGAAGCTCTCCACAAGTGGTCCTTGGCTCTTGGACAACTCTTCTGATAATTCTTTTGAGTCCTCTGTCAGAAATCTTGCGAGGAGCATCTGGCCGTGGCCGGTTTATGGAGAAATGATGTTGTTTCCACTTCCGGATTATGGTCCCAACAGTGCTCACTGGCACATTCAGAAGTTTAGAAATCCTTCTGTAACCAATGCCATCAGTATGTTTTGCAACAAAAAGGATGCAAAGGTCTTGAGAAAGTTCTTTGCTTTTACCCATCATGAGATGCTTCATCAGTTGGAACTGAACCAGCTGATATTAATTTGCACTGAAAAGGGGCAGGATTGCTTTCTGATTACTGATAGATTTCAGCTGGTGTCTTGGCTTTTGGTGCCTTTTGCACCTCCATTTCTTCATGTGTTCAATACTTTTTCCCTGTGTCATTCCATTTTATTACATAACTTAATGTATTGACATCTAAGGTTTGATTTCCTTGCAGCTGTGGGTTGCATGGATGGTACCGACATCTGGTGAAAATTTCATGTCAGTAGCACCTATAGAAATGTATTTACTGAGAAAAATGGTGATGTGTTCAGTACTTATTTTACCCGCTGTATGTGTGTGTGTGTGTGTGTGTGTGTGTGTGTGTGTGTGTGTGTGTGTACACACACACACACACACACACACACGTTAATTTGCTACACAGTTTTTGATTTTGAAATCTCTTAAATCATGAAGGAGGAGGTCAGATACATAATTTTATGTATTTTGCCGTCCTTTAGGGTCAACTAGAAGGTCAGATGAGGACCGTGAATTCATATGCTGGATTCACAGAGTTTGATAGGAGTCCTGAATCTCTCCGTCCTGAAATGGGTTTGTGTGACTCATTACTGCCCTCTTCAGTTTGAAGCCCGAGAGTGTGAATAACAGGAATTGCATCAGGGATGTTCCTTATGGGTGTGGCTTTTTTTCTGTCTGCTGCACGCAGGTTCAGCACAGAACAGGAAGGAATACAGTCGAGTTTCCGCTGAAGATATCTTCCACGAGGACTTGAGCGCCTCCTCAGTGTTGGTAAGCTTTAGCTCGCCCATCAGGACCCCAGTAAAGGCAGCGGCTACACGTCCACATCCGGGGACCCGGTGTGACCCCATGCTCACGTTTCCTGTCAGCGTTTTTGAATGAAAGTCACTTTGTCTAAGTTTTTTTTTTCCCTCCCCTTCTTCCCATCCCTCCCGAATATGCAGGAGCAGGTGCAAGGCAAATCTGGCCAAGCCAGCAGTCTGTAAGTACTCTGATGCCGCCTCACCTGACACATGAAACGCATCCTGTCCGAGCGACGGTCAGCGTCACCCCTCAAAATTATGCAAAGCCACCAGCACCTGCCTGTCCCCCGCCGCCGTGCCAGGATGATGGCGAGTGGCCCTTAAGCCACGTGCAGCTATTACAGCATTTAGTGTGATTTTTATCGCCATCCCCCCACCCACACCCATTTTGTTTGGAAACAGGAGCTCATCTCTTCCTGCTAGATCCATAGCCGGCTGGTTTTGGCAGGCCAGGCTCCAGAATTAGCAGTTTTTTTTTTTCCATATAATTACAGGATTTGTAGTGTTTGCTGCTGTTGTAGACAGACGGCTCTACAGAAGTTTGAACTTGTCTTTCGATGATGTCTCTGATGTAAAAGAAAAAACCAAAACCAAAAAAGCTTGTTTGTGTACTGGTGTGTTTTAATGCTGAATTTTGACTCTCTTTCCATGCAGAGCTCCTGCAGAGGACCCCCTGAATGGTAAGATGTTATGCGTCTTGTTTGAAATGTGTTCTCTTGTGGCCTGAACAACCAGAACCAAAGAGTGTTTGGTCAGTCGTGGACCCCCGTCTGGCCTGGCTTTCAGTGGCCGCCATTCACTTTTGCTTCCTCTCGGGTGCTAATTTTCATCCAGCCGGAAGCTCCCTTTGAACGGCACAGTTAAAATCCTCATTAGCGTGATGACTTACAGGTAGGCATTCCTCACTGGTGGCTCACTGTCCTCGGATAACCTGTTCTGTTTCTGGAGACTGACCTTTGGGCCGTGCGGTACCCTTAACCTGCGAGGTGGTTTCGAGTGGAGGTCTTCTGGACCTGAGTGGGGAAGCTGGAGTTCCATGCTTGACTGGTTTACAGACCCGGTGAACCTGCACCAGGAATAAATGGCTGACTAGCGGCGCATGGCTCATGTTATCGCTTTCTCGTCAACGTTCAGCAGTTTATGGCAGAAGATGGTATTTTAATAGTGTAACATTTCGCTGTATTATGTAATTACAGCCCCAGCAGGCCTCTATGCGTCAAGACACACACATCTGGCAGGCAGGAAGGACTGTAAGTGAATAAATTCAGCTCTTTTGCACACAGCAACAAATGTAAAACAGCATGTTATGTAGAAATGTTTTGAAAGTGCAGTGTGCCACCTAGTGGCGACTTCTGCTGCAGTCTTCAGCTGGCCAGCATGAGGGGCGTGAGAAGCTCAGCAGTCCTCAGATGTTTAGCATTTGTTTTGTTTTGGTGTTGTGCAGCCATTGGTTCCCCCTTCAAGCCTATGGACACAAGTTACCAATATTCAGGTGAGGGAGGCAATGAATTATTTCATGACTTTTACTTTTAATTACTTCTGGTGATACTCTTAAAAATACGCCCCCGTCTCTGTGTGTCCTCCAGCTGTGGAGCGCAACAACCTGATGAGATTGTCTCAGAGCATTCCATTCACCCCTGTGCCCCCAAGAGGTAAGTCCTAGTCCTACCCTTGGTTCACCATTTAGGTCCTCCGTCTCCCCAGTCTCACTGGTCTGTGGTGTAACCCCCCGCCCCCCCACTCCCAGGAGAGCCCATCACAGTATACCGGCTGGAGGAGAGCTCCCCAAACACCATCAACAACAGCATGTCCTCTTGGTCCCAGAGGGGACTGTGTGCAAAGATAGAGTTCCTCAGCAAGGAAGAGATGGGTGGTGGCCTGCGGAGGGCGCTCAAGGTGCTCTGCACTTGGTCTGAGTATGACATCCTCAAACCAGGCCACCTGTACATCGTCAAGTCTTTCCTGCCAGAGGTGGTCAACACCTGGCAGACGGTCTACAAGGAAGACACTGTGCTGCACCTGTGTCTCAGGGTAGGTGACAGTACGCCCTGCACATCGGCATGACGACGGGGTGGGCGGCCTGCGTCTGTCTGTGGTCAAACACTTGTATTCTGTTTAGTGTTTATCGTTCAAATTGGCCTCATTTTCACATTTAAAATACGAGGATCAATACTGCTTGACCCCTCATCTGGAGAAATGGAACAGAATGATGGAGTTTCTGAGATTTACTTTGGAAATATTTCTGATACGTTGTGTTTTGATTCTTTATTGATGCTTCAGTTAGAAATTCGAGAAATTATCGGAGGATTTTCATGCATTTTCTTCTTCATGTGGAAAAATGTTTCCACAATATCAAAAAATCCTCCCTTTCCTTCCTCTGATTGATTTATTCATAAAAGGACCTGCTGTTTTTTCCACATTTTGTCATTTGGAATGTCCTATTTTTAAGTCTTGTCTTCACTGAACTGTCCTATTTCACCTTGCACTTTAAAAAACAAAACTGCAGCAACAGCAAACGTACCTCATCTTCAAGAATGTAGAGGAGCTGTACTTTGTAGTCGGTGAGTGGCAGCCAGAGGTCAGCCAGCTCCTTCCATGTTATGGAAGAGGAAGGAGTTGGGCTTGTAAATACAGCAAACCCACCTGTTAAGGCTGTTTACAGACACATGGTCACGTGACCATTGATGTAACAAGTTGGTCAAATGAACATTTTAAAAACATACAGGTGTGCTCCGGTCAGAGGAAATCAAAGTGGGCTCATGGTAAGAGGCTGTGATTTCTGTGAATTTCATACCCTCTGTATTGGTCGTGGATGTGGAGAGCAAACGGGCTGGATAACAACATTCTGCAGGAATATTGCATCAAGTAAAGATCACCGTTGGGGGCTCAGGTTGTCCGAGGTTAATGCTATTGGGTAACAAAGGCCACACTCTGTAACCTCAGTGATTTGATTGTTTGTTTTTCTTTTCTTTTCTTTGCCTTGCCCCCCTCCCCCAATTTAGGAAATTCAGCAGCAGAGAGCTGCTCAGAAACTGACTTTTGCCTTCAACCAAATGAAGCCGAAGACTATTCCTTATTCTCCCAGGTATTTTGACTTTAATAGCTGGATCCCTCTTCCCCAGAAAACGCTAAAATCTGAAAGCACGTCTATTTTTTTTGCTCCACTTTCCCATAGGTTCCTTGAAGTGTTTCTGTTGTACTGTCATTCTGCTGGTCAGTGGTTTGCCATCGAAGAGTGCATCACTGGGGAATTCAGGAAGTTCAACAACAACAACGGGGACGAGATCGTCCCCACAAATTTGCTGGAAGAAACCATGCTAGCCTTTAGCCACTGGACGTACGAGTACACCAGAGGAGAGCTGCTGGTTCTGGATTTACAAGGTACAATTTGATTTATCTTGATATATCTTTCCCTGTAGGGCAAAAGGTCAAGAGAAAACTGCGATAGAGATCGTTGAGCACTTATGCGTGAATGTCAGATGGGAGGACTTTGTATGTCGGGCAGTTTGAAAATATCACCTTCGACGTGTCTTTCTAGGTGTTGGGGAGATACTGACTGATCCATCTGTGATAAAAAGTGGTGAAAAGGGGTTAGTATCTATGCAGCGTGGGGATCAAAGCAGAGAAATCATGAGTATTCCTCACCTGCAGCTTCCCTCAGAGCCCTGCATGTGATTGCACTTTCGTAACATGTCGACAGACCTTTTACACAGTCACACTAGGGATGCAGTACACCATAAACTCAGCAATAAAGATTATATAACAGAATGTAACCTGAAATGTTTCGAAGGCCGACATCCTCACTGACACCACAACAAACGGGACACCCTCTGTCCACAGATGACAGTCGGACGTCAAACGGTGAGAGCTATAAGGGAATGGTTAACAGTCTTGTTAGAATTTAATACATGTATCCCTCCTCCCCCGAGGTCATATGACATGGTGTTTGGACCTGCAAATCTGGGAGATGATGCAATAAGAAATTTCAGAGCAAAACATCACTGTAATTCCTGCTGCAGAAAACTGAAACTTCCTGGTAGGTAATTTTTGTAGTTTTTAGCCATCACTCAGCATTAGAATAAGTCTTAGTCCTTTTTAAAAAAAATCATTTTATGTCTGGTCAGATCTAAAGCGGAACGACTACACGCCTGACAAAGCAGCACTGAGTGCGGACGAGACACCGGACGGTTCGGCTCCGCTGGGAAGCGGCACCAAAGAGCAGAAGCACTCCATGCGGCTGATGCTGTGAGGCCGTCTGCGCGGAACGCAAACGCACACGGTCACAGCATCACGCTTCCGCCTGCTTGCTTCAGTACGCAGATGCAGACGGTGCAAAAAGTACACTTAAGTCAGTCAGCCGGACCTCCAAACAGGCAAAGGTATTCATTCCAATAAACACCTGTATGTATACATTTTCTGCCTGTGTTTTGGCAGAAAATAACAAACGAGCAAACGTGATAGCTATGAAGATTTTTAAATATGTACCTGGGGGGGCAACTTTGAAGACCTTTTTTTCAAGTTTATATATTGCTATTAGCATATGAAGGGGCTAACAACTGGTACAATCTCATTGTATAGATGGTTATAGTATTTATTATGAATTATGAGACGTTGCCTTGTATAAAACAAAAGCAATTTAAAGTGCTTTGCCAGGTTTCAAAGAGAACCTGTCTACATTTAGACTGCAAGAATTTGTCGGGCAGAATGTACTGCTGATTTTTAAAAATAAATGTAAAAACCAATGTAAAAAAAAATGTAGTAATAACTCTATGGCATTTGTGGTACATACTATTAATAAAGTGGATTTCAAATCTTGTAAAATAAGGGCAGATTGCAATGCAACTTTTACAGTACAATGTATGTAATTTTAATGTGTTGAAGTCTATATGAAACTGTGTCCACCAAAAAAAAAAAGATAAAATGTTAATAGGTGCATTTTTAATGTTACAAAGGTACTATTATCACTTCTGTCATTCAAGTGTTGTACGAACAAATTAATCTAGTGTATCTTATAGATACATTTATTTGGCACGAACATAATGGATTAAAGGTAGAATATTTTATGCAGGGGAAATGTGAACCGTATTATGGGGATAATACTGTATTCCTTTTGTACTGTATATCATTTAATAAAATATAAAATGCTTAATGCCATCGGTCTTTTTGGAGCCACCCTGTGACGGGAAGCAAGTCCTTTGGTCGTGTACAAAAGTGTCTTTGGATGCAGACGCTGTGGGGTCCGTTCTAGACTGTGGTACATGTGACACACTTGTCAGTTGGTTGTTTCATGGACAGGGAATTATTCGGTACAGAATTTTACTGGAATAGACAGAAATATTTGATTGAATAGTGATAGGTAAGTTATCTATAGTATGGTAAGGTTTGCACAGTATGGTAAAGATTAGATTAACATTACTTGTTGATATATTTTAAAGCTAAGGGTATTGGCACAGATGCCCCGTTGCAATTCGATTCCAATTCATAAGCTAATGATTCTATATCAGTCTGATACGAATGAGACATGAAATGCTATATAGTAGCTTTCCATATTGGGAGAGAGATTTAACCTGGGACACAAAATTACAAATGCACTTTGCTTGCTTGCATCCTCGATGACTTACCATGCTCTGCCTGGTACATATGAAGTCATCACTGAAGTAAAGTTTGTGTGATGGTAAGTCATCGAGGATGCAAGTTTGTCCAAATTCCGTTGTATGCCCGTGCTACCTTCCTTGCACACTTGCTCACTCCTCCCCTCGTCAGCTTCATGAACTCAGCAGCTTCATGAGCTTTTATGGCACATTATGCGTGGGTGTCACCAAGGGTGGATTTCTTTTCCACAAAGTGTACTTCCACATGCCCCCGACAAAGTGGTAATTTGAACGAAAATTGGCCCTCGATGACTTGTTGTCTAAGGTATTGGGACAGCATTTCCACATCTCCAATTCGGAATAACTTCATGGGCAATGGTAAGGTAGCGATTGAGGGTGGTGCAAATAAGGGTTTTTCGATCTAGCCTATTGCAGTTCTCCTATAGGTGAGAGAGGAAGTAGCGCCACATTTAGGATACGAGGACCAATACAAGTAAAATTAAGTGAAAATGTTTTCAAAGTCATGGGGAAAAGGTATAAATTAACCAGATCGTTCTTGGGATTTTGTGAATCGATATCGAATTGTCAAAACCAGAATCAGGATTAGTCATAAAATCGTTTTTTTCCCCCACTGCTAATATTTTAACATTTAGATGGAGTGGGTACAGACTCGTGTCTGGGGCGTATCCACTCTACGTTAGCCACACACCCCTTCCACCATAGCCTTTACTCACTGAGAGAACCATGTAGCTTTCGTGTTTGATATCGGGTTAAAGTCTATGACTAACCTCTCATTCAACTGCGAGTGTGGACCAGTGTAATCAGCCTAGATGAACTCGGTCCTCTGTAAACTGTTGCTGTTCTCTGGCAGTCTTGACAGTTCCCCTGAAACTCAGCTGACCCGACTTTTGTCTGAGGTGAAGGGCAACGACTGGTTTGCTGTAAATAAGGTGGTTAAGCATAGTTATTGGAGCGTAAATCTTGAATGTGCTGTCTCTGCGCCTGTAAGGTCTGAGTCATTAGATGCTATGGGAGATTGTCACAGGGTCAGATCCATACAAGAAATTTACCAGGATTGCTGAAAATAACGTTAAAGTATGACCAAGAAGTGTATTGAAAATGAATAACATGATTTTACACATTTTATTCCCCTTTGTCCCCTGTCATAATCTAGCCTTTTATAGTCTGTGTTTGTTTATGATAACAGTATAATCAGGGGTGACAGCTCTCATGCATCTGGCATGACACTCACAAATCTTTATTATTCCATTATAAACTTAAAATCAGCTGCATCAAAAGTGTTGGGGTAGTTTGCAAACCCTACAGACTATTTACAGGATAATAAAACTCTTACATAATTGTAAATGTGTGTGCAGACTTGTCTCGAATTGAAAATCTTTCGCCAGCCAGGTGACTAAAGTTGGCCACCCTGATATGATCTTTAAACGGTCACTGTGCACCATTTAAGATGACTGTCATTGATAAGCTGTTTCCCCTCTCAAATCTAGTAATGGAAAGACTCTTGTTGAAAAAGAAAAAAAAGGCTGTAAGCTGACTAAACTAAATTGGGGGGGCTTTATTGAGGAGTCATCAACATTTTTTATAATCTTTACTACCGGAAAGATAGTAGAAGAAAATTGGCGTTGGAGAAGACATTATGATGTTACATAAAGCAAAGCAAATGTATTTGTATAGCACATTTCATACTATTAGGCAATTCAAATTGCTTTACGTAAGAAGGATAAAATACAGTTGGATTGAACAATGTACAACACAGTTGTATTATACAATATAAAGACACTAATGAAGTGGTTTTTGGCTGTATGCAGAAGTTTTAATAAAAAGTTTGCATTCCATTTGGTAGGCATCTTTGGTCTAAATGATACTACTTTTAAATGAAAATGAATTTTTTTTTTTTTTATAATTTTGAAATCAAACAATGTTGAGGTTGTATTATGAACACTATTGTAATATGTTACAATAATGTTAAAGTAAAATGCATTTGGGACCCGGATCCAGATGAGTGATGGATGGATGGATGGATGGATGGATGGGAAGCATCTAGTGTCATCTAGTGTTAGAATTAGGAATAACAACATGGACATTGGTTTCTTTGTTCCAGTACACATAAACCACTAAATGGCTTAATTGTACAAATTTCTTAAATTATCAAGATAAAAAAACTAAGTAAATATGGTTAATATGCCACTTCAGTGGAAGAGAAGAGGTTTTGGGTAATTTTCAGACAGGATGGAATTGGTATGTTCTGTTTCACTGCCTGAGTGGGTGTGTTGTGGGTCAGTGAAGTCTTGGATTGAAAAGAAGA